GTTTATATTATTTACTACACTGGCTGTAGGATTGGCAGAGATGCTGTTTTTTGATGACTTTCAATTAGATCTCGTAGCTGAATAAATTTATCGACATGTGGGCGTTTGGAGTCATCTTCAAGGTCTAGTCGAGCCTCAAATCCGATTTCTTGGAGCCGCTGATTACACCAAGCCTCTGTCTCTTCTGGCAGCAGCGTTTCGATGTCAATGTGCTCAAGCGGACTCAGCATATTATGAAGTAACTGCTGATCAGGGCTATTGTCATCTTGGCTGAGAGAAACGCCCCAATTTGGGTCCTCCGTGGTGTGATATAGGTCCATTGGAATGCCAGATCGAACATTTGGTCGATTTGGCTGGTTGCGGATAATATGACCGTTCCACAAACGCACAAATTGACCTAATTCGTCTCGAATAATAGGACCATAGATAGCATACATAGCTATCTGATCAGCGAGGTTATTATCCCTAAAAATCGCGTAGCCGGCAAGCTCATTAAAGAAGGTTATCCAACGATCTGTAGCGCCTCCTCGTAGCTGACGCCACCAGGATTCAATCTTCACGTTTCTTGTGCTTGGTCCATAGAGATGACAGCTATCTAGCCGATCACCTTGTTCGTAATAGTGGCTAATTCCGTCTTCATCAGTGTATTTAAGCTTCTTTGGACCGGCTTTGGCAAGGGCTGCTTGCGCTGCTGCCCACAGAGGGGTTTCGACGCCACAGTCAGATCTTGTGAAGAAGGGTCGCATTTGCAGTCTTTGAACGGCCTGAAGGTACTGCTTTAGAGTGCTTATTGAAGTCGTAGCTGACCTTCCAATAAAGAACCAGATAATGCACCGCGAATACGCATCAATACAGCCGTAAACCTGAAATCCAAACCTCTTCAGCTTTTCGTAGCCATCAAGAGACCATAGGAAGTTTGGGCCAGGTACTTTGAAGTCTCCTCGTTGTTTAAAATTGCCGTCGCGGCGACCTGCAACTTCTTCAGGGAAAACAGAGCGATAATAATCATATAAACGGCGTTGTGATACAGCCAGCTGTGCCTGTTGACGAACGTATTGATAAAGAAGTCCTTTACCAAAGCCAAGGATAGCTGTGCGCTGCTGAAGGTCTTGGTGCAGGAATTCAATTGCACGATTAAGGGTTTCTTCTCTTTCTTCAGGTATTCGATATCGCCGCTTCATGCCATAGCAGTACCGGATTCGCCGTATCATCCATCGATTTGCTTCAGAATAGCCCTCTCGTTGTAGATCACGAAGAATTGAGAGATCAGAGAAGCCAAAGTTGAAGAAATAGTATTTGACCCGATTGATTAGGTCTCCAGAGACCTCCAAAGCCTTATGCCGGCTATTTAAGCCCCATCGTTCAAGTTGATTGTACAAGGTTCGTTCGCTAATAGGTACATTATTCCTCAATTGAAGCTGGGAATTGATATTGACTAGGATATCTTGAATTGATACACCTTCGTAATACAGATCGCAGATATCTTCATATAAAGGCTGAAGCTTTTGATGGCTTGGGACTGAAGCAGTCAGACCCCAATCGGACAGTTGTCTCTTGAAGGTACGAAACGAGATCGTGCTGCCGCGATCAGCCACCAGCGCTTCGTTTAAAAACGCATAGATCTGATCATTAGAATGGCCCTCATTTCTTCTTATGTCGATGGCTTCTCGAAAAGCCTCAATTCGGCGGCGCGGCGGCATTGCAAATGTCAGGGCGTTGCGATGAGAGTGTCATTGATGTGTGTGTGTGTGTGTCTGTGGATTGCGGGGCTGGCCCTCTT